CGCGTGCGGTGACGAGACGAATTGCGGTTGTCTTGTTAGTCTCTTTTGCAGGTTTTAGAGGATCGAATGTCTCTCCTCTAGACACCGTCCGATAGCTGGTGCGGGTAGGTGTACCATCTCGAAAATTTTTTCCTTATCGGGATGGCGTTCCCTGGTGTCTAGTCGCTTCAGCTTTTCAATTTCTGAGCCATGCATCGGCTTTTCGCTTTGGGCGGAGTCACAATCTGGTTGTTTCACTAGCCATAAGACATTTCCCATAAGAACCCGCTAAAGAGGCAAAGTGCAAAAGGCTTATCGATCACAGCAGGAATTCTTGTAAGACTTGAGAACGTGGGCTTTTTCGAAGCAGGTGTAACACAGGGCCGTTTAAGATCCTCGATTTCACCCAACACGTTAATGAGACGACGTGTCACATGACGCGTTAGGTCGCGTTCATACTTTGCGTAACGTTTCGACCGTACGCCAGCGTTTTGAATTTTTGGCTTGCTTTGGCTTGAATGCTCTAGTGTACGCTGGCATACGCTCAAAACGCCGACGCAAAGGTGAAGGCAGCCTCGGCGACGAGGACTTCTTCATTGTATTATTGTCAGTGACGTCTCAAGCTGGGCCATGCTATATCAGCGCTGTTTTTTCTTGCGAGCTGGTGAGGAATTCAACGAAGAAAGTGATCATTTGATTAGTTCGAATCGATAGATTACGAGATAATCCTCATTTCCATAACGTCTGCTGTGCCCTCTATGTTTCTTGAAATTCAACGAAGCAACTGGCTCTCAGACCAGCAGGTGGCAGGAGTATTGTAGCAACTTTTGTCAATATGAAACATACAAGTGTGAGAAATGTGGCACAAAGCAAGAGGAATATCACGATTTCACCTCGATTCAGATAAAGTACAAAGTCTGATGCTCCTCCGATATGCGGCACCGCGCCAAACTCATCCCGCCTGACACGCCCACCGTCCGCAGCGAACTGCACCTATACGTCATCCAAGTAGAATTACCGAATTCGTGTTAGTAAACCCACCCCAGTGCTTCTTCTCTCCTCTAGGCCTAGGCAAACATCCTTACCTCCACAGCCTCACGAACGCTATTGAACCGTAGGTTCAAAGTCCAGCAAGTTACGTGTTAGGCTGCGTTCATAATTTGAGTCAGCGTACGGCAGCGTTTAGAGCGTACGCCAGCGCCAGTGTCTCGGAAAGTATGGACGTCGATCTAGCGAATGACAGCGTCCACCAGCGTACGCTAGCGTACAGCAGCGTTTCGAACGACTAGGAATGTATGGATATCGATCTAGCGCCAGCGTTTGCTCAAGCTCAATATGCCCGCTAAAATGCTAGCGCACGCCGGCATTCGCTGATCTTTCCTAGTCGCTGGCATACGCTTGCATTTGTTAGATCAATATCTATACTTTAGTGAGCTCGCAACGCTGAACGCTGGCGTGCGCTAATGCAGAGTATGAACGCATCCTAAGACGCAATCTCTTTGTCCTATACCATGCCATGAGACCTATATTCTGGGTTACAAATTATCTGTCAACCGGATGCTCTCTCGGGGTCCTCTTCGCGTCTTCTGTTCGAGCTTTCAGAGGAAGGAAAATAAGGAACGAGGATGAGAAAAGGAAGGAAGAAAAAGAAGGAAGGAGGAAGGAAAAGGAAGAAAGAGGAAGGCCCCGCGGTTGACAAATTTGACGGTGTGTTACGGTGTGTTCTGTCCGGAACCATGAAAAAAGTAGCTCGGGGTGCCATCACCGGTTTCAGGACATCCGCCAACCATGTGGCCCGTCCTCCTTCCCTTTTTCTTCCTCCTTCCTTCCTTCCCTAATCCTTATTTTCCTTCTTTTGAATGCTCATCCAGAAGATGCTGCGATGCAAAACACTACTGGACCCTGGGTATGTGACAATGAGAATCGTAATTCACCGCACTGGTGGGCGTCGCGTGCGACGTCGCGCCGCAAATGATGGTTCCAGGTAGTAGATGGCGACAACAGGCAATTCAGAACCGAAAATAGTCATGAATGTCTACGATGACGGGGTCTACATGAAGTCCGGTGCTCCATCGACAGGTTAACACGAGTTAAGAAAACGCCGCGCCCATCGCCGCGCGTGACGAACGGCGAATTACGATTCTCTTGCACGTCTCCCCTGGACAGTTGTAACGAGAGAACATCCGCTTGACAGAAGCCGTGTAGCCGCCAGCGTGTCCTGTTTTAAAATGTCTTTTCGAAAACCAGGGAATGGGCACATG